ATCAGAGTAGGGCAAATCTCACATGATCAGTATTTAGTGTGGTCCGCACCATCAGTCCTTTAATAATTATTCCACCAGTGTTAGTGAGTGTCTACGTCCTGGCGAAATGCTGAATAAAAATCACATTCCATGAAAAATACTGACGGATGTCAGGGACTATTGACCATGTAACATCCCTTCAGGCTTTTCAAGAATATTGTCATTAAGCTATATTATACATGTTAAAAAATAGCATTTTGAATTAAGGCTACTCCGTCTCTGGTGGTGTGCTATATTAATTATTCCACCTAAATATTTCTAAAACCGTGCATTCTAGAAAGAAGTGTCAAACAGAAGTTGTAGGGTTTCGAGCGGCAAAATGATAGTGACCTTGACAACAAGGTTTAATGTTTTTTCAAGGTCAAGTCAATATTCTCAAACAGAAACCCCTTTGTAGGATATTTTTTATAGGAACTTGTGACATTATTCCTTTGTGTTCTATATACATATAAGGAATTGATATGTTATTTTGGGACACCTATATTTACCAATAGTACAACAAAAATGCTACATAGTTTCTAAATGGTGAGCCCACAGCATTTTTGTCATTAGATATATTATGAAATACAAAATAGTAGTTATCTTTATCCTCCAAGGTAATACTTTTTAGTTGGAATGCTAAAGTGCAGATTTCCAACATTTTCCCTGATTCTTTTTTCACAATAAAATAAGATCTTTGAGTACAATCTAAGTTCTTGTAGGCACTGTGAAGTGTTTCCACCTAAAAGAAAAAATTCAATTTCAGAAAGGTATACCTTCAAACACACTATTTGCATGGCAATCTCCATTTCAAAAACGTCTGACTCTCATTTTCAAAGTTTTAAGTATATGATACAAAGAGTTGAAAATGGCTTGACTAGCTTTGATACCATAATTTTACAGTCATCAGTACATCATGATAGTACCTCTTCTGGAGAAAACACATTTTCTAAATCACAAGCATCAATTTTTTCCACAACTACATGTCTTGGGACTGGGAAAGAAAACCAGTAGTAGTAATGGAATTTTTTGAGATCCTAAAATCAAAATGTTCAGGAAAGCCTATTTTTGGTTATTGTATACTTACTGCAAAAGATAATATAAAAAATCTGTTGAGTAATGAGGTATCTTTGAATACATCCTCATTTATTATATGTTGATATAGTTTGTGACCTTCACTGTTTATAAGTT